TGGACTCCTGGGAGGTGAGGAGAGTGAAGTCCCCCAAAGAACAGATCTATTTACCTTAGCAAATAGACATAGATGTGAATTCTTTTAAAATAGGGCTTTCTATTTATGAAGATGAGGGACTCCTTGATCAGTCAATCTGGTGAAGCCTGGGGACCCCTGCTCAGAATCAGGTTTTTAAATGTATTAACTAAAATACATAGGATTGATTACAAAGGAAACCAGTTATGCTGAAATACAAGAATTCAACTATTTGTTTAAAGTTCATGGGATGCCTGGTGAAGTGCCTCTGAGTAACTCAGTTCAGGCAGCACTTCTTAAGCACATCCTGCATGCCAGGCGCCATGCCAGGAGCTGAGGATACAGACAATCGGTGAGCAGTTCCTTTCTCAAGGAGCTTCTATTCTTTGGGGTAGACAGTATGTACACGTGTATACTCATGCAAACGTATGTACATATACACCCAGTTATATATAAATCACTTCACTTGGGGCTAGAGAATGGGCATGCATTATTCTCTCAAATGATGAATCAAAGGCCTCATAGAGATATTTAGGAAACACATTTAACTGGCTTGGAAAAATTCTATTTTCTCCGTGGTAGCTTTCCCTTTTTATCATGTTTGTTGTACAATTGAATTCTGGGTCAGCTGCGTGGCTAGTGCTGAGGACAGAGGGAGCAATGCTCAAGTAGACTATAGGAAAACTGGCTATTTTTTTCCACTTGGGATTTTACATTTAAAATATGAATTCAGTTTTCATGTGAGAGAGGGCATAAACCTCCCATTCCCAACCATTTAAGTGTGTACGTGAGTTGCTTCATATTCCTAGCACATGCAGTTACAAATGTGTAAGTAGGGGCAGCTTGGTAGATAGAGCACCAGCCCTGAAGTCAGGAGGACCTGAGTTCAAATCCAGCCTCAGAGCAAACACTTGACACTTACTAGCTGTGTGACCCTGGGCAAGTCACTTAACCCCAATTGTCTTAAAAAAAATTAAAAATGTATAAGTAACAAAACTATATCCTTAGACAGTAGGAATATAGAACTACAGAGACCAGAGATTTTGGAAGCTAGACATATGTGACCATATTTCAGAAGTTTTCTTGGCCCTGCCTCTCTGGAGAGGACCTTTTTCCTGATCTAATGGTGTTACCTGTTTATCAGTGAGGCAAGTGGGCTTTTCATCTGATAATCCTCCGTCTCCCTAAATGACCAGTTAACCTTTTTTTCTAAATACATTTTATTGATATCTTTTGTTTGTACATCACTTATATTTCCCAATATGTCCCTTCCAGTGTCCCTCCCTTATGACAAAGAATCAGTCAACCAATCAATAAATAAATATGAGCACTGCAGAAATCTGATGTTGTACACACTGGAGATGAGAGACAGACACGGTGTGGTATGAGGGGAACCAAGACAAGGCCCGGCAGCTTTGCCGCTTTGCAAGACGTGAGCTGAAACTTAGAATTGTTTTGCTTTGTTCTTATTTGTGACAAGGAGTAAGCTTTCACACAGTTTGTTGTATGCATGTACATACATATATACACATATCTGTATCTACCTATCTATCTATCTACTCACACATATGGATGTGTTTTGTACAGCATAAACAAAAAAGTCAGAGAATCCAGGATGGTTAAGAAGGGGGAGGGTACTAGCAACTGGAGCAGAAGGTGGTACTTGAGCTGAATCTTGGCACAAATTGCATTGGGTGAAGGGAGGAGGCCTCAGAGTTTTACCTGTTCTTGACCTTCTCCATCTTTGAGCTCTGTGGAAAGGGATATCTGGGCTTGTACAGCTTTGAGAACATACGCTTTCACACACATATAGCACATGCCATTTGAGCTGCTTCACACATATGACCCTGAATCCCATGTCCAGATTTACAAAAGTTGGAAAGTTTGTGCTTGTTCACTCTCTAGTCCCATACTTGAATATAAAGAAGCCCTTCTCGTTAAGAATGAGAGCTGGCACTAACATAGCATTTTCAGGGCTTGCCAAGCACTTTACAAGCATTATCTTCTTCAGTCCTCACAATCTTGGGAAATGGGTGCTATTATAACACTCATTTACAGAGGGGGACCCTGAGGTGACCTGCCCTGGCTCACATAACTTGGTAGTTTGTAAGACTGCGTTTGGACACAGGGCTTCCTGACTTCCCATGCAACGCCCTCTTCTATGTACTAGGCTGCCTTGATGTGTCCGAGGGACCCTGGTCTACCTAGTGATTCTTTAAAGAGGGAGAGGTAGTAATGATCATAAGAATGATTGATGAGGATGGTGATGATGACAGCAGCTTTGCCTTTCTCTGGTGCTCCAAGCATAGTTGGCAAAGCGCTCATCGCCCGGTGACCCTGTGTGGTGGGTAGAGTTCAAAGGAATTCATCCACTCAATAAACCTTTATTAAGCGCTCATTATATGGCTAATACGTGTGGGCACTCTGGCTCCCCTTGAGGTAACTTCTGACAGTACAGCTCAAAAGCCATCTAGTCCGACCCTCTTGTTTTATAGATGAGGACACTGAGACCCAGGGAGGCTGGATCACAGCCTGCTGCTCTTCTTCTGTCTAGCAGTGCGCTCTTGCTGAACTAGAGTTATTGCTTGTACTCTCTGGCCTGCGTCACCTCTTGGACTGCCGGGTTTCCTGCATTCTGCTTGAGTATTGCTCCCTCTGTCCTCAGCTCTAGCCCCTCAGCTGATCCAGAATGCAATTGCACAATAAACATGATAAAAATGGGAAGCTACCAGAAAGAAAATTGAATTTTTCCTAGGTGGTTAAACGTGTTTCATCAACACCCATGGTTCTACCCCTGAAAGCTTAGTTACAAAGGCATTTACAGGGCTGGGGAAAGAGTCGCTTCAGAACTGAGCCAGAGAACCAGGATAGCTGGCAGAGCATCTGACAGGAGGCCCATCGTCCTGCCCCTCTACTCTGCTTTCTGTCATGTGACCAAGGCCAATAGTGCTGTCTGAGGAAACTGACGCCTAGGGACATTGAGTGACATAGGAAGTGTCAACAGCAGGATTGGCAGTTGTGGATGGCGTTGAATATTTTGAAGTGTTTATATTGTTCCTCTCAGGGCTCAAAACCTGGGGGTCTGTCAAGAGTAGGAGGCATCTTTGTAATGTCTGTTTGAAAGTGATCCCACAGGAGATGAAGACAGTCACCATCTTCTGATGGGCACCCCATTCTTTTTATTGCTCTGCTACTGTTTCTCCTTTCTGCCAGCTTTTGTTCCTCTATCATAGTCAGATCTCTCTAACACTGAAGTAGCCTGGGGGGGTGGGGTTGGGGGGACAGAAATCTAATGATTCCTCACCTTTCTCAGCACTTTCCTTCCAACCACCCAGTGAGGAAACTGAGGTTCAGAGAGATAAGATGATTTGGTTGGACAACATGGCAGCCCAAGCAAGGCATCTCTCCAGGGCACTGCCAGGCCTACACAGCTGCTAGCTCTGGTCAGGCAAAAAGGGAACAAATTGGGGAGGCCATAATGGGGTTCACTCGATGCTAGGTTAACAGATTTAGAGCTGGATGGGATGCTAAAGGTCAATTAGTACAACCTGTTCATTTTACAGAGGAGACCCAGGCGCAGAGAGGTTCAGTGACTTGCCCAGGATCCCAAGGGTGCTATGAGTGTCTGAACATTTGTGCATCCTCTTAGATTCTGCATATGAAAATAGGAGCCTCTGTGGCCTTGTGGCACATGCAGCCCTCCCTGGCCCCTAGTAGCAGGGGTCGTAGGCCCTCAGCATCTGAGGGGTGAGACTTTTCTGGAAGGAGGGGGGAGGGCTTTTTTTTTTCATGTTGTCCAAGAGGATGTCTTATGAGGGAACTCCCTGCTATAGAGTGGAGATTCTAGAGTTGAAATGGGTTGGAGAGGATGGAACCCAGCAGATGGGAAAAAGGGAAAGGGCAGGGAAGTGTTGGCAACAACAGTTTCCCAACTCAGGTACTGGAAAGAATAAGCCTGTAGAAGATGCTACAGGCCATTGCTTTGGGTGCCAAGGGCCTGACAGAGCAGAGGCTTCACGAGGTATTCTCAGTAAAGGCAAATTAACTGATTGCCAGAGTTTGGAAACATTGTAGTATCACAGGAACCTCTGAGGTCATCTATTCTAATGTCTTCATTTTACAGAAGAGGGCTCTGAGGCCCAGAGAGATCAGTGACTTACTTAAGGTCACACAACTAGTAAGAGCTGGAATTTGGAGGCAGGTCTTATTACTCCCAATCCAGTACATTGAATATTTCAGGGTGACAAGAGAGCTAAATGCCTGGGGGTCTCTTTTAGGGGTCTGAGCAAAATTGTGCCAGGGACACTCAATGGCCTTGGCCTTGCAAACTTCTTTCCTGGAACTCTTGGCAGCCTCTGCTTGTCCTCAGATGCCTAGCTTATTCCATGTTCCCAAAGGGCCTTGCTTTCTTAACTGGATGTCCAAGTGCAGTGTTACCCAATGAAATTCAAGGTAGGATTCTTTATGTTCACTTGGGGTATTTGTCTCAAATGAGGGCCTCTTGAAGATAAAATCTTCGACACCCAAGGTCATTAATTTACGTTGGTGGAAGTGTAGGTGATGCGCGAGAAGGGTGAATGAGAGTGTACAACACTGTGCCTCAGGTCCTGTGGCTGCCCCTGCACTGCTGCCCACCGACAAAGTCTTTGAAGGCTGGTAGGTAGAGCCAACTGGTGAACATCTATCTGGTGGTGTACTTCAGAGGAAATCAGGACTCTGGACCACTTCCCCCACAGCTGCAATAACATTTCATCAGCACCTTTATGCTTCTGCTAAGGTACAAGCCTGTGTATGTGAAGTTACCATCAATTTGCCTAACAGCCTTCCTTTAAACATTTTTTTCACCAGGAGAATAGCATTTCTGGTGCTACCATTCATCAGTTCTTTGGGGTTTTCAAAGTGCCCCCCACCCCCATCTGCTTTGGGTAGAATCATTCTGTAGTATGCCCAGCTGACACTCATGTCTGTGTTTCCCCTTCCAGATGATATCATAAAGCTCCAACGGAGGGAGCAGGTCCTGGGCCAAGCAGAGCAAAATGGATGGAGAGGGTTTGCCAGAAACAGAAACCAGGCTTACGACCAGACATCTGGATTTTTCAATGGTTAGCCTCAAAATTGTTATTTTATGATAGACTCACTAACTAACCTTACCAGGCTGTAAAAGCAATCTGAATCACTTCAGGTGGCCTTGGGTAGCACGTCGGGGAACTTGGGTTGTGGCTTAGTTCACTAGTCTTGGCGATGGCTGCTGACCTAGTCACCCACGTTGGGTGAAATGAAAAAGCTCCGTCTGCTTTGCTTGTCATCATCGGGGCTGTTGGCCTGATCTGAACCATTGTTTAGGGCCTGTTTTGCCCTTGGCAAGTCCAACTTCATGGTCCATAATATTGCTGAAGAGGGAGAACTGGCTGCTATCAGGTCATCAGCAAACCTAACAGAAGCTTCGAAAAATGCTTATCTTCATTTGTAGGGAGTTGGGGCTCAGGTCCAGCCCCAGCCCTGTCAACCAGTTTGGTACATACCTTTTCATAGGCATTTACTGGGTATCACTACGTGGGATGAGTGGTTTCAAGAAATGAGAGTCTTCTCAGGACTCTGGACAGACGGTCAGAAAGCGCCTGAGGGTTTTGGCCAGTGAAACCCTTCACTGAGGGTCTATATTAGAATATCTTACCAGCTGCCTCCCTCAGACACTCCCAGTACCCCAAAAGGAATCTTCTTAGAGAGGGGCAGAAGCCACGGTGAGAAAGCCCATAGTTAAGCAAACAAAGGAGACTTCTGAATCCACTGGATAATCTAAATAGCTATTCCAGCTCACTGGAAGAGAAATGTATGATTGGGATCATTATTCAGCTGAGTCAGCCCAAATATTTTTCTTTTACCTGAAATATTCATATAATCCTGCCCAGAGTGGTTTTATTCCCTTCTGTGATCTGCAGGAAGACCTGAGTTCAACTCCCAGAGGGGTGACTTTAAGATTAAAAGTTGTCGAGAAGGTGCCAATCTGTATCAGGAGGTGGGGTTCCCTCACCAGAAACTCCCTGCCCTGATAAAATCCCAAGTCTGCACTTCCCTTAGCACTTCCCCCCCTCCCCCCTCCTTTCCTCTCCTCCTTTCTCCCTCCCCCCGTCCTCCCCTCTCCCTTCCCCCTTCTCCCCCTTCCTTCGTCCTTCCCACCTCCACTTTCTCCCCCCTCCCTCTTTCCCCTTTCCCTCCCCTCTCCCTTCCCCCTTTCCCCTTTGTCCACCCTTACCTCTCGTCCCCTCCCCCTCCCCCCTCCATTGATCTGCAGGCTTCTTGTTTTCTGCTTCACTGGCTGCAGATAACAAACCTAAATGGCATTTCCAGGACTTGGCTGTCCTCTTCTGATTTCCATGCTGTTGCTTTGGCCTTTAGTTTATCCCTTATAAATTGGGTGTTTCTAGGAGACGGCATCTATTTTAAGCAGGTGCCTGACGTCCTATTTCTGGTCCATCATGGCAGGAAGGCAGTCGTCCTCCCTGGGTACAGTATGTCAGATTCCCTTCGATTGGCAGGAAGGTTGGGCGCTCTCCATTGCAGTTGCTTTCAGCAGGACATTAGGCTGAAGCTCCCCTGCCCAGCAGCAGTGCTGAGCTCAATCAGAGGGCTGCTGGGAAGAATTCACTGGAAAGGCAGATTAGACCTTTTGCCAAGCCCACTCTATGACTTCCGGAGCCTGGGAGCATAACAAAATACTGCTGGGAGCTGTGCTGAGTTAGTGCCTGATACATACAGTTGGTCATTATGTTCCTAGGACCCCAGCGATTGAGGAGGTGGCTTGGACACCAGAATTATTACAGAACTGTTCAGAATTCACACAGGCCAAGAGCGTTTCCTTTCATCCCTAGGTGGATCCCAGGTGACAGAAACAATGCAGCTTTTGAGGTAAAGCAATGATCAATATTGGGTGACTCCCAGATGTCTTGTAAATGTGCATGATTTCTTCCTAGATTGCCCCCCACCTATGGAGGGCAGGGACTGGCCTAGGGCTTAGCATCTTTCTGACCCCAGCCATGCCCAAGGCAGTCCCAGCAAACAATTTAGATGCTTGCTTATTGATTTTACTTCTGTACCTTTTTTTTTTTTGGGGGGGTTACATTTGTCATTTGATGTTTGGGCACTGCTAAAAATAGAAATCAGGAAGTCTAGCTAAATGCTGCTCTTTTAACGGGAGCCCCATAGAGCCATTTTATGTTTCCTACTGCTCTACTGGCTTAGGTCTTCAGTTGTGTTCTAAGACCCATTTTGGCAGACTTCTCAGTGAAACAGATTTCATGTGCGGCCCTGCTTCAGTAGGGTCAACAAGTGAGAGAGATTTCAGTGACAGATAACTGGGCAGCTCCTTCAGTCCTGATGTCATATGGGTGAGCCCACCTCCAGGCAATTCACAAGGAGTCCCAAGCCAGACTCAGAATCTCCAAATTGGGTGAAACCTCAGAGGTCAGCTGGTCCTGAACAAGAACAAGAATTTCCTTTACGAGATGAGGAGGAGGATAGCTGATATTTTTATAATGAATGAAGGTTTGCAAAGCGCTTTACCTATACAATCTCATTTGCTCTTCAATAAGGGGTTATCCATCATTCAAAGGCTATTCCACTTGGGACAAAACCATTTCCTCCCAGGGAGGTGAACTTGGCCTCTCTCTTCAGTCCGCCATGGCAGCTCCTAGGCCAGGTACCACAAAAGTAATTCATTCCTCTTCTGCCTGGTGGCCCAGCAGCTGCTTGACGACATATGTTGAATTGCAGTACTATCAGGAAGGTCGAGCATAATTATTTCACAGTTAAATAAGTGCTTAAAGTTTCCAGTATTTTTTAAGTCTAACAAATTAGCTTTATGTTTTTCAAGATTTTTTTCCCCTAAAAATCAGTAGAACACTGTTTGATTGATGGTTTGGGGGCTTTGGGGCTTTAGAGGGCAGTAGAGAGGAGGGGGTACTGTGGGGCAGAAGACACGAGTTCAAGTCTTGTCTCTGCCACATGCTGACTGTGTGACCCTGAGCAAGTCACTTCATCTCAGAGCGCTCTAGGCAGTTCTCTCAGACTACAAGTTACAGAAGGGATACAGACCCACCTTGCTAGAGAGTGTTTCCTCATCTGGAGTTGGAGTCAGAAAAAACGTGAGTCAAATCCAGCCTCAGACATTTACAAGCTGTGTGACCCTAGGCAAATGACTCAACCTTTCTCTTCCTCAGTTTCTTCATCTGTAAAGTGAGGATAGTAATAGTAGCAGCTACCTGACAGGGTTGTTGTGAAGATCACATGAGGTAATACAGGTAAAGTGATTTGCAAACCTTAAAGTGATATGTAAATGCTGTGATGATGATGCTTACAAGCCATCTTGCTTTGGGTTGGCCCAGATAACCTCAAACTCACTCCTGATTTTCTATTCCTTGAGAGAGATATCAAGGTCTGAGAACAACACTCATAGTGGAATTCTGGCATTTAACCAGATTCACAAAGGTGCTAGTTTATACTCTATCTATATTTTTAATTTTACTAAAATTGGATACATATAGTGATGTGTGTGCCAAAGCTGCAAAGCACTGGATACCCTTTTTGTCTTTATACTTAAAAAATGAGTTCAGTAAAGTTAACCCCTTGGTATCGTCACAAGCACACACAGATCAGGGGCTTGGGGGTCCAAATAAAGCCATGCCCAAGTGAAATTGTGGGGCAGTGTTGAAATTGTTTTGTCAAATGGGGTTTCCTTACAGGGGGATGGCAACAGCGAATCAACAGCTAGGCAGTTCAATAACCAAAACAGCTGGCCTGAGAGATGGAGGAGACAGCTGACATTTGGACCAGCGAGCAAATCATTGCCAAGTAATGCAAGAAGGTAAAAATAGAGTCTTAGTAGATTTCAAGAGCGTTTTCCATATTCCTTTAGTGACAGCTGGATCCGAGTGGCAATTCCATGGCAGCAAGATGTGTCTTTTTGTCATTGAGTAGACTAGAAGCAGCATGGTGGTGGAGAGGGCTGACCTTGGCATCTGGAACACTTGGGTTCTTAGGTCTTGCCTCAAACCCATGGGCAACTCATGGCACATTTCAGTGAGTCAAGCACCTTGTGTGTAACTATGAGCAAGTCCCTGCCTCTCCCCAGGTGTCAGTTTTCTTGTCTTTAAAATTACAAATCTGAACTGGAGGACCTTTAAGCTGGCCACCAGCCCCAGCTCTGGGATCCTCTGATAAGCCTTAGGTCTAATGGAGCTGTTTGCAAATGGCAGTTTCTACACTGCAGAAATCATAGACTGGACTCAACAGAAATAATTTCTACATTACTCTATACTAGAGTCAATATAGATTGGGGGGCAGGACAGACACTGCTCCCCTCAGAGTTGTTTGTCCTTAATAGCCAGATTTTCTCTCCTTTCCAACATGAGAAATTTTAAGGGATTAAGACTACTATGAAAGATAGGCTTTATAAGCCATGCTTTGGGAAAAGATTCTGCAGTTGCCTCTCTAAACTTGTTCTCTCAAGGTCAGCTAGAAGGAGGAGAAGCGAGATTTTTGGGTTTCTTCTTACCAGTTGACACTAAGTTGGAAATAGTCTTTTTTTCTTGCGCTCTCTTATAACATTGTTTGAGTATCTCTCTTCTATGCTTATTGGTGTTTTATTTTCTGTTATATAGTTATTTGTGTACGTCTCTTCTGTCTGTACTAAAATGTAAGCTCCTTGAGGGCAGAAAAGGTCTAAAACTTATTTTTGTATTCTCTTTAGCAAGATAGCACCAGGCCTTGGACATAGTAGGTACCTAAACATTGATTGGCCTAGTTGGTCCTTGAAAAGTAGACTGGCTCACCCCTACCCCCAGGCCTTGGAGTCTCATTATTAAACTCTCTCTTATGGTCCTCCTGTACCAATGTTGGCTATTAGGTAAAGTTTGTCTTTGGAGCTGCCTTTCTTCCTTTGCCTTTTGGGCACACTTCCCCTTCTCCCCCTCTTCAAGTTTTGCAGGCCTGCTCGTGCCTTAGCCCAAGGGCCTGACTCTAAGAACTGAAAAACAATTATCCAGATAATTCAGTTTAGCTTCCTCCCCCCCCACCTCCCTCAAAGGAAAAATCACTTAGGAAGACCAATTCACTTCTTTATTTATTTATTTATTTATTAATTTGCTTATTTATTTATTTATTTTTAGTGAGGCAGTCGGGGTTAAGTGACTTGCCCAAGGTCACACAGCTAGTACTTGTCAAGCATTTGGTCTGAGGCCAGATTTGAACTCAGGTCCTCCTGACTTCAGGGCCTGTGCTCTATCCACTGTACCACCTAGCTGCCCCTGAAGACCAAATAATTTAATAAAATTTGAACTTTGGTCTGAATTTCCTAAATGATGCTCATTGCCTATGAATATGAAAAAATCCAATTTGCCTTTCCCTCCTTTACATTCTTTTTTGTCCTTTTGGTGTGGTCTGGGAGTCAAGAGACCCGAGTTCTAATTCTAGACATGTGGATTTGATCAAAAGACCTGGCCTCAGTTTCCTCATCTATGAAGTAAAGTCAGAGGGTTGAAATAAGATGACTCCCCCCCACCCCCCAATCTCCCTTCTAGCTGGGACATTTCATAATTCACTAATGGTATCTCCTCAGTGTAGCTGAATACCATTTGTGTGGTTAAAAATTATTTCAACATTTCAAGGATCTATTATATTACCAGTACAGGCACTCCTTCCACTAATGGAGATTACAACCCTTCTTTGACTTAGTAGCACAGGGCTTCTTAACCTTTTTTTTTTTTTTGGTGTCACAGACACCATCCCTGATGTCTGGTGAAGCCTCTGCATTCCTTGTCAGAAGCAGGTCTTAAATGCAGTTGGTGTTTAAGAAATGCTGGGGCCTAAAAGGTTATCCCCCTGTGGCCAGCCTGGCCAGTCCTCAGGCATCAGGCACATGGTCCCCCCCCATTGCTGTGCTGATCTTCTGCCCTTTCCACCTTGGCCAAGAGTGACAACCAGAGCTGGCGGATGCTGCCACAGCCTTGGAGAATCCAGGCTTGTCTCCACACCAGGAGTAAGGTTAAAGAATAAATATTACTTTACTAGAGAAGTCATAGGGAACCCAAAGTTAAGAGAGCTAAGGACCTGGCAAGGAGGATCCCTCATCACTCTAATGAGCTCAGGGACAGGGGAACCTTTGCTTAGGACTTGGAGGGCATTTCCCTTTTAAGTCCTCCAAATGCTCGTGAATAATACATCGAGTAGAAAACACAGACAACTTAATGGTTCAGGGTTCCCAAACAAAATAGCTACTTCAGGCCAACTTCCCACCAGCAGTGAGAGACAAAGCAGGACATTGAGGCTGCCCAATGCGAAACACAAGCAGATACTGCCACCACTGAGCCAGTGTGGGCTCTTGGGGAGAGCTGGAGAAACATTCCCAGGGAGATTGTAGACTGATATGGAGCCTTGTATATGTGTCTGTCTGTCTTCTCCCACTCTCCTCTTTCCCTTCCCCTCCCCTCTCTTCTCCTCCCCTCTCCTTTCCTCTCCTCCATACTGTTATTACCTCTAGAATATTAGCTTCACAAGCACAGACCTCAAAAACCATAGCAAGCATTACAGTGATCCTTCTAGAGCATCTTTGAATTTATACAACCTGACTCATGGCAAGATCTCGGTCTGGGAGTGAGTCCCTTGGAAAAACTCCAGGTCAAAGAAGTCTTGGGGCCCAGGACCCTAACATGCTCCATCCCCTCGGAGACAGATAGTTGGCAGAGTTGTCGGCTCCCCAACGCTGCCACCCACATTCTTCCCTTCCCTCCTCATCCCCTTTTTGTTTCCTCATCTCTTCAGTTGTCTTTGGTGAAACGTTGGCTGACAGGTATGAGTTTCACTTGTGGCTGGACAGCAGCTGTTTCTTCATCACTTCTCATTCATTCATAGTAGAAAGTGTACGTGTCATCAGTGGTGATGCGTTCTGGTTCAATCTGGTTGTTGGGAAAACCTGATTTCTTTTAACAAAAAAATTCCAAGTTAGGTTTCCTTAGGCTTCATGATAAACAGTCAGGGAGCCTTCCTGTCTCCGTTGAGATGGCCACATTTGCACCCCCAACAAAGGGCTCATTTGCTCACATGGGCCTCTCTGGCTTTCTCTTATTGGCTTTTGGGGTCAATTTTTAAATCTTGTGGTCAGACTCAGGCCGAAAACATCCATTCTGCATAACTCATTGCTAAGTCATCATTTCATTTCCTACCGAGATGTCTCTGTTTACTATTAACATCAAGTCTTTTGTACCAAACAGAGCAACCAAGCAGAAGCAGCAAAGGGACAGTCAAGTGAACCAGAACCGGGGGGTGAGTGTCACAAGCCACAATCTGGGTTTCATTTTAGAGCTCGTTTTAGCTTTGGTGGGCCTGGTTTCTTCAAATAGCCAGTTTCTGCATCATTTATTTTTGACACAAATATTATTTCCTTAAAATCTGCTTTCTGGCATCAATATGGGAAGAAGCCCTAAAGATCTCAGTTCTGCTACCTATGAACTGTGTAACCTTGAGCAGATCGCCTCATCTGTAAAGAAGAAGGCTGGACTAGGTTCCTGACTCTGTGGTTCCTGCCAGTTCTAAATCCACAAGCCTAATGTTGGTGTGCATCCCAGTACAGCAAGTGTTTGCCATCATCCTGTATGGATCTGCCTCCAAATAATTCCTTTTCCACCACGGCCCTGTGTTACTTGGCTAATAGGCATCAAAATGGAGGGGAAAAGAATGACTGAGACCAAATCAGGACCGGATGACCATCCCTAGACTGGGCCTGGGCCCAGGGTTAGAAGCAGTGAGGCACTGAGTCACACTAAGGCTCGATTTCTGCAGTAATTTTCTAACCATGAGAGCCAGCTGGCCCTAAAATGGGCTGGGCCACCTCAGGAGGGGTGGGCCCCCTCCCTCACTAGAGGGCATAGGAGGCCCACTTGTCAGGCAGTGTTGGGCAGCTAAAGACTGGCTGAGATGGCCTCTGAGGCCCCTTCTGACTCAGAAGTCTGATTTTTCCTTCAGATACCACCACCACACACAGGACAGACATCTCAGGGGAAGTCTCCAAGCCAAAGCAGGTGACTGTGGGCCAGGGTGGAGTTCATCTGTCTAATTCATGGCCAGGGTAGGGGTTGGCCAGGGCTAAATGTCTGTATATGTAGCTTTTCTGACAGGTACCAAGTCCAGATCAAACCCGGATCAGTCCTCACAATTTCTGTTGCCAGTCCTCAGGGAGGCCCAAATAAGCTGTAAGTAAATAGTTCCCACCTTTTGTATTTCAGTCACTAGGGGGGTGTGTGTGTGTGTTTATCTTCGATATGTTCATCTTCAATGTGCACCACCTACATCTCACGGAATTCATTTGAGTCCATTTTCTCCAGCTTCCTCTAGGTAGGGGTGGAGGGAGTGGGAGGACAGCTCCATGGAATACCCCAGCCCTGCTGATTCGGGTGAAGGAAGAAAGGGTGTACCTGAAAAAGTCTTATGGAAAAACTACATTGCTTTGCTGATGCCTCTGCCCTCTGCCTCCCCACTGCCCACAACCAGCCCAAATCAGACTCAGCTATTAGGGTCTAGTTGGATGTGATGTTTAGTGGGCCCAGATTCATGAAGGGAGCTCAGAGACCGTCTGACAGGACCCCTTCATTTTAGAGAGGACACTACAGCCCAGAGAGGGGAAGGGGATGTGCCTCCAGCTGCACAATCAGTTACTCAGCCAGTATTGAAGCATCTCAACTCTGGGCTAATGCTGGGGGCACAGAGATACTTTCTCTGAAAGGGAGCAGCACTGATTTAGTACGTGTCAAGTTTCATTTACAGCTTTCCATGTGTATTTTTAATTGACAGATTCAGAAGAACCAATGAGGAAAGTTCATTTCAAACAAATAAATGGAACTCGCCTAAAATTGAGAAAATTCAGCCCAAAGGGATTTCCCTGAGATACAATTTCCGGGCTGTTGCCAATCAGGTATGGCCAACAAAATTACCCACTGAGATTGTTTACAAGGCACCAAGTAAAAATCCCATGTTCACTTCAGGCTCTGCTTGGACTATACAAGGTCTACTTGTACTGAATAATATAGCAAAGTCTCCATTAACCAGAATCTCCAGTTAACTAGATTTGTGTCTTGCATTTCACTTTTCTGAGGAGACATAAAGGAGACGTGGATTTCAAGTATTTTTTAAACTGCAAAGCATTGTGTGACCCCCAGCTGATGCAGTTAACGTAAGGAGCCCAGGCAAAATGCCTTTGTGGCATTTGCAGGCGAATATGAAAGCCAGGACCTAGGCTGAGTGCTTCACAATATGATGTCATTTAAGCCTCACAGTAGGGTGCTCTTGTTATCCCCATTTTATAGACAAGGAAATTGAGGCAGACAGAGGTGAAGGCAGACAGACTTGCCCAGGGTCACACAGCAAGTCAGTATCTGGGGCCACATTTGAACTCGGGTCTTCTAGACTCCAGGCCCTGCACTCTGTGCACTGTGGTGGCCCCTAGCTGCCTATTCTAGCTGGGGAGATAAGACCTTTCCCTCTGATACCCAGTAGGCCACAAGCCTCAGGAATGGTTCAGACAGTTCATGGCATTTTGAAGAAGGAAGAGAGCACTGACCTCTGACACTGTCAGGGATGGTCTCATGATGACCTGAGCTTTGGAGAAAGAGTAGTAGATGGGTGGAACAATACAAGCAAAGGTGTGGAGGTTAGCAGACATGTTTGAGGGACCAGCCTGGCTGGAAGTGAGGGTCCATGACAGGGTACAATGTAGGACATGGGGTTAGGCAAAGGGCCAAAACTAATTGAACTTATTATAAGCACTGGGGAGCCATGGAAAGTTCTTGAGGGGCTGGAAGAATGTGATGTGTGTGTGGATGTGTAGATGTTCCCAGAATGCTCTGCATCATTTTCTAGCAGACAGTCGGCAGTGGTTGGTTGAGCACCTAAATTTTGTAGGGAGCAAACATACAGAACTGTGCTCCGAGCCTGCTC